AATTCTGTTGTTGAATTTGCTGCGTATTACTTTCAACCCAGCACTTAAAAACCCGTGGTGCCATTCTAGTTCTCCTGAGTTCTTTAGAAACATACTTGATTAAAGTGGCATCAATCCATGTTCTTGTCATACCCTTTCTCAAATTTGCATTGGTTAATCTTTTTCAGGAAGTTGGAAGAGTGTTCTAAGTCAGGGGCAGCTCATAATCTCAATATCTATTACTGCCTTTTCTGGTTAATTCTGTCCTTTCAGGTGTCAGTGCTGCTCTGCTAGGCTTTGCTCAGGCATCATTTTCAGGAACTGCTTTTTCCCTACACTATGTGTGGTTTGTTATTCAAAGACTTGCTCTCCACCTGCCCAAAACAGTCTCTAGACCTGTTCTGACTACTATCTCCTTCCTGGGTGCTATTCTGGGGCATCTTACTCTCTCTTAGTCTGGAGTAGACAAGAGATTAACTACAGAGGATTATGATAGAAGTAGTTAAAATGTGCATGCATGGAAAACTTCATAATTCTCTATTTAATTTCTGATGCCTCAAGCTTCCTCTCTGCTCTTGGCAGGAAGATATTTTTCCATTGCTTCTCCAACCTTTAATGCCATGATTATGAGAAATTATCTTCTCTAGCTTCTCTCACCTGTAAAATACTGGACACAGGGAAAAATTTGGGGGGCCTTCTATTATTGCCCTGTTACGTCCTCTACACTTGGACTTGAATGTGCTGCATTGTGCAGAAGGCCAGAGAGCCTCCATGTTTACTAATGATGAAGCAACTGAGACCCAGGGGAATGGTGACTTGCCTGGATCCATATACTTAAGGGGCAACAGAGATGGATCTGATCCCCTTGCGTTATTCTTAGGACCTTGTGATTTAAAAGAAGTAATCACTTGTTTTCTGTGTTTAAAAAGAACATCTTGGCTCTGCTGTTTATTAAGCATCTAACCTTGGGTAAGTCAACTCACCTAGCCATGCCTTGCTTTTCTCATCTGTAAAAATGTATTGATAACTATTTCATGAGGTTGTTTGAGGTTAAACAAGCTAATCATACAAAACTCACAGCACCTATAGCACCTGGCCTATAGTAACGACTGAAGTTCTCTGCTACGACAATGACCGTCGAAATGGTGAAATCTTAGGAGTATATTCCACCAAATTCATGAAATTAAATTCTACATAGAAAATTTTAATTTTCCATTAACTTTAATTTTTACCATTGTTCTTCTAGTTCCAATGGGTGAGATTATTTGTGTGAAAACATTAAGTCACAAAGAAACCAGCTGCACTAATGAGCTATGTAATTGGCCACCACTGATAAACATAGCTCTTTTCCAGCATTGGCTTTTCTTTTGTAGTGCCCACCTCACTTTTGGGCCTAGCTGCCATTGCAGGCTATTTTTTTTTTCTCTTTTTGGACCAGAAGCATTTTGCTTAGAACCATCCATGTTTTCCCTCTTTTGATGATTGACATAATCTCAGTGCTTGGTAGTCAACGGCACTTCAGTATATGGCTTGCCAGTCTACCTCTCCCAATACTGCCGGTGGAAAGTTATTTTTCTTCAGAACTCTGGCCAGTAGAGATTTTCTCAGGTATTAGGGTCAAATTTCGTGTCATCTACCCATGGTGAAGGATATTTATTGCTACTAATATCGGTGCCTATTTGGAACAGTTTCTGCATTGATCATTGTAAGTTCTCTGTAAAACGGTCTTCTTTCCATAATGCGTATATGCATTTGTTTCCCTTTCCAATTCATCCTTGTGGCTATTTTTAATTTTAAAATTCCAGTAGTGTTTAAGTTAACTGTGCATTATTTGAAATTTATGATAAGGTACTATCAGAAATAGAGGAAACAATATGTTATTTTTCAATACTTTAAGAACCTAGGAGTGTGGGGCACCTGGGTGGCTCAGTTGTTAAGCATCTGCCTTCGGCTCAGGTCATGATCCCGGGGTCCTGGGATCGAGCCCCGCATCGG